TTTTGTTGTGAATGCCTTAGAATAAACTTTCAATATTGCCAGTAAGTATAGAATTAAAAATAAGCCTGTTTAGTGTTTTTTAAAGGTAGGCTTTACTACTTCAGCAAGAAGGGATTAGACCGCCCAGCGAGCCAGCGAGGTCACTGTGACAGGTGGCTATTTCATTAATTCAGCTCTCATTTAACATAAGAAAAAGAGGATCATGGGGGACCAACAGGCACCGATTGGGGAAGTTTTCTATATAGAGGGAGCAAGTAGCTACAAGTAGGACAGTGTGCCTTTAACTGGTTAGCAGCGATTTAACTACGTCAGTGGGAGGTGCACAATCGATTTCTTTTAAAATCTCTGACAAGCAAAAACAAAAGGAGGCCGGGGCATCAACTTTTTAGATTCTAATTTAGGAACTCAAAAAGCCAAAAGTGCATCACTTTGTTCAATGCCAAGAACACAATTAGGGGGCACATCTTTTGCATATTCAAGGAAATTAAGTAATTTGTAAATCATGTGTTCGATTATAGTGTGGTGCGAAACTGTCCGATAGAAAAAGCACAAGTGAGCTCATGGAAAGGTTGGGTCTGGAAGAAACTGTGATGGAAGTGGTATGAAAGAGATGTGGATTTATTTTAGATGGATTTGTCTTGTGTTGAGAAGGGAAGATGATGAACCTGTGAAAAGAGTGTGGGATCTGGAAGTGGATGGCATAAGAGGGAAAGGAAGATTGAAGATTTCATGGAAAAAAATGGTGAAAGAGAAAGCAATAAATTTGGTCTAAATTAAGAAGGTGCCCGAGACAAGAAGAAGTTGTGGGAGGGAGTGTCATCATGGCACGAAAGTCAGTAACCCCTCGTAAGAAGGTAGCTTACTTTAATAAATGATGATAATAATGTTGAAATAAGAAATAAGTATAGATTTACAAACATTGCGTTGGTTTATTTGAATAACTAAAATGGAGAATCTTTTGCTCATAATGTTATATCACTTGCCCAATAAACTGAAAATTCAGTTGCTCATCTGACCATTGTTGCTGTGGGATGTTGGGCAATTTGAAGTACCCTGCCTCTAAAGGCATCATTCTAAACCGCAAACAGGAGGTGACAGGAACAGATCTTCAAAACAACAGGAGAGCTGGCCAACTTTCTGGAAGAGATTTATCAACAGACGTCATTAATAACCTCCTCTGAACTTACTCGAGCTTTGTAACACATGTGCTAGCTAGGAATAAATGGGTACAGTGAATGCTATACAGTGAATGCATAGCTGGATTAATGGGGGCACAGGAGGCACGCGCCCCACCTCCAACCCTTCTGCTGGCTTCAATCTCTTCATTGTAATTCTGGATTCTGGAAACCCCACTGAAAAGAAAGTGTTAAGAATGATATTTTCAGAGATAGGAAGAGTCATCTACTTTTTTTTCCCTTATCGGTATATGTGACAGCTGTACTACTATAAATATATCCTCATCAAACTTGTTTCTCGGTCCTTACCTTATGTTCTTTTTTGTTTAGGTGACATTACCATCCATGTGATAAGTGTTTTATCTGCCAAAGATGTTCCATAAATGGACAGTTGTTAGATAGTAGCTTGTTTCCACAATACTAATTCATCCAAAAGCATTTTTTTTCTTTGTTGTTATTAATTTATAAAAGATATTTTAATTTGAGTGGATATTGATTGTAACAAAACAAAGAATCCCAGGAGGGGGGGGGGGGGGATTATTAGCTGTACAGAGGCCCATGAGGCGTGGAGGGCGGGGGGGGGGGGGGGGGGGGGGGGGGGGATTATTAGCTGTACAGAGGCCCATGAGGCGTGGAGGGCAGGGGGGGGGGGGGATTATTAGCTGTACAGAGGCCAATGAGGCGTGGAGGGGGGGGGGGGAGGATTATTAGCTGTACAGAGGCCCATAAGGCATGGAGGGGGGGGGGGATTATTAGCTGTACAGAGGCCCATGAGGCGTGGAGGGGGGGGGGGATTATTAGCTGTACAGAGGCCCATAAGGCATGGAGGGGGGGGGGGGATTATTAGCTGTACAGAGGCCCATGAGGCGTGGAGGGCAGGGGGGGGATTATGAGCTGTACAGAGGCCCATGAGGCATGGAGGGCAGGGGGGGGATTATTAGCTGTACAGAGGCCCATGAGGCATGGAGGGCAGGGGGGGGATTATTAGCTGTACAGAGGCCCATGAAGCGTGGAGAGGGGGGGGGGGGGATTATTAGCTGTACAGAGGCCCATGAGGCGTGGAGGGCAGGGGGGGGATTATTAGCTGTACAGAGGCCCATGAGGCGTGGAGGGCAGGGGGGGGATTATGAGCTGTACAGAGGCCCATGAGGCATGGAGGGCAGGGGGGGGATTATTAGCTGTACAGAGGCCCATGAGGCGTGGAGGGGGGAGGGATTATTAGCTGTACAGAGGCCCATGAGGCGTGGAGGGGGGAGGGATTATTTGCTGTACAGAGGCCCATGAGGCATGGAGGGGGGGGGGGATTATTAGCTGTACAGAGGCCCATGAGGCGTGGAGGGGGGAGGGATTATTAGCTGTACAGAGGCCCATGAGGCGTGGAGGGCAGGGGGGGGGGGGATTATTAGCTGTACAGAGGCCCATGAGGCGTGGAGGGGGAGGGGGGTTATTAGCTGTACAGAGGCCCATGAGGCGTGGAGGGCGGGGGGGGGGGGGGGGTAATTAGTGGGGAAAAACCATACTCAAATGTTTCATTTAAAATGAAGTACTTTTTTCAGGCGATAGATGGTATTCCAAGGCAATCAAATGTCTGTATAATGATATCATCTGTTTATAGCCCGAAGGACGATGAATCATAGTTCGTAACACAGAGTTAATTAACACAATTCTGTCTCCACAAACAGACAATAATTACAAGGGCTATGCATGCACACCTGTATACATTTGGTAATTTATTTTTGTCAATTATAGCCAACTGATTACATAATAAGGATTCTGTAGCTTTCAAGTGGTAAATGATCTGCCTGCATATATGATTTTGGCTCGTTCTCTATTTGTAGCCTCACTGATTGACCCTCACTGATTGACCCTCACTGATTGACCCTCTTCATTCATTGTGCGGGCTGTTTACCTATCATATACTGGTGTACATTGGAGCATGTCTCGGAAAAGGTCATAATCAATGCTGTCATAAAGTTTGGGGGAGCATCTTAAAGGTAAAGACCAGTATTGGAAACGCCCCAATTTCAAAAAATGAAATGGAAGCTCTCATTACCAATCATGTGAAAGAATATGTTTTGACTAATACATGATGATAAAAAATTTGCCGGGGGAAACTGCCTACTAATTCATATATTTCGTAAAATTGTTTCTCTCATGGTCTGTGAGAGATATAGGGTAGTCCCATATACATCTTTCTGTGTATAGTGCTTGTAACTTTACGAAGAATGGGCCAAATTTCTTATCATTTTGATGATTCCAGAACCTTGCAGATGCTAGATGCTAGATGATCAACCTTTTCTGATCGATTTCACAACGTTTCTTTCACAATGCAATCGCATGACCATAACTGGTCTTTACCTTTAATTAAGGATGAAATCCACAAAGGAAGTTTAAACCTGCACCATTGTCTAAACCACTACAGTATGCATGTAGTTTACATCCAGGGTGCAAAAAAAAATGGGGGGGGGGGGGATCAGAATGAGGGCAAACCAAAGAACATAACTTCAAAGTTGGCCTAGGTTTCAAAGTTTTATGACGAAGAACATGGTTTTTCATCCTACTTTTTTTCTGTTATGATTGAATGTAATACCTGTCGAGTTCTCCAGGTATTTTGTGACAAAAAATATTTGATATTTCCTCTGGTCTGGATCGAGGGTCATTTGAAGTCATGTGTTTATGTTTTGGCTTGGGGTCCAGCAGGTCTGAGATGACACATGGGTGACCTATCCTTTCTTCAAGGGTAAATCGTTAGTGCAGTGCCTCTATTGTTAATCACATTTAGATTGTGAAGAATGTCGGATATTATCATCTTGTGCTGTAGGCATTTTTCCAACCAATTAGGTGTCCATCATATTGTTTATTAAGTGGATGTAAGCCGATCATAGAATATGGAGAAAGTGGCATTTTTTGTTATGGACAGAGAATTTTGGAAACACGATTCATGGGTTGTTGAAAGTGTATGATTTAGGTGAGAGAGATAAAGGGAGAGAGAGAGAGAGCAAAAGAGAGAGAGGAGGGAGGGAGAGAGAGATAAAGAGAGAGAGAGAGAGCGAAGGAGAGAGAGGGGGGAGGGAGAGAGATAAAGAGAGAGAGAGAGCAAAAGAGAGGAGAGAGAGAGTGAGATGGGGAGAGAGAGAGAAAGAGAGAGAGAGAGAGAGAGAGAGAGAGAGCATGGATAGAGTAGGTTTGAGGAAAGCAGGTGCAATATGTTGCCCGACATATATAAGGGAACGTTTGTATGATAATAAGCCCCGAGATTCATGTGATGTGGAAACTTGGCACTCTCAGCATGTCATCTTTTCTTGCCCCCCCCCCTCTCTCTCTATCTCTTTCTCTCTCTCTCTCTCTCTTTCTCTCTCACACACAAACACTGTCTGTTAATGAGTTGCATGATTTTGTGATGTTGTGAACTTACACACAGCAACTACAATGTAACACTGAAAAGTAGAAAATCAAATAAGAGTCCCTCTCCTTCCATGCCTTCCTTCCCCTCCTTCCATCCCTCATCCCTCCCCTCCCCCCTCTTTCTCTCTTTCCTCTCTTCTCTCCCTTCTCATCTCTCCCTCTCTCTCCCTCTCTCTCCCTCTCTCTCTCTCTCTCTCTCTCTCTTTCTCTCTCTTTCTCAGATACACAGATATGTGTTTTCATGTTCATCTCTCAAAGTTAGTTTGATATCAATTACTGAAGGTGGCAGACAAGTCAAGTTTAGCTGGAAAGAGCCTCTCAAAATCTGATCTATTTTTATTTATTATTCCTTGTCCTCTTATGAAATTGATTATTTTTCATCTCATAATTTCTCATGTTTTTTATCTATTTATTTTGTAGCAACTCCATGGCATACACAACCACTATCAGCAGATGAAGCAAGATATGGGTTACCAGGATAACCTCTCGATGAAGCTGGTTCGAGATTCCATGGCTGATTACATAATACAGAGGTATAAGCCTGACCCCCCCCCCCCTTCCCCATTATTATTGTAGTGGTACGCTGATTTGGGCAACACATTGACCTAAAGGGGGCGCTATAGCATCAGAGGAGTTGGGTTAAGATGATCATTTGTACGGTTATTAGTTTGACTTTGTATACATCTCAAAGTTGAACAGCATTAATTATGTTTCCGATAGTATACCAGGAACGGGTAAACAACCCCTGGACTTGAATTTGTACATTTGATTACAGGTGTTCATTTCCTGTAGGCTCCTCCCACTTTTTTTGGTGCCTAGTTCAAGTCACTCTATCTATTATGCTTTGTCATTGGTTATATTTAATTAAATGTATAACTCCTCTCTTAATTGGTAGATTGAATTGGTCTAGAGGTCGGGTGACCTAAGGGTCATTTTATATCCTATCTTGTAATTGGTTGTCTTCGTAAGGGTCCTCCTGATTGGCTAATAAGATCATGTGATTTTTAAGCCTCGTCGGGTGCCTGAGTATTTAAATGCCGTGTGCGGGATTTTGTAGCTCAGTTTTATTTTGTTCCGTTACTCTGTTAAGGATGTGCTGCTTAATTTGCTCAATCTATAGGGCCGCTCAGCCTCTGAGAGAATAAGCTATTTAAAAATGTTTGAACTACTGGAGCTTCGGCTGAGTTTATAAATAATAAAGTGGACTTCAACTGTATTTCCGAGCTTTTTTCGTGTTTATTTTGTTTCTGAACTCATAGTCACCGACCCATTATGGGCCCATTACATTATTATCATCATCATCATCATTTTTTCTTTTTCTTTTTCTTAAATTCAGCAAAGACAAAATCAAGTAAACAGTGAATACAAAACAACAGTAAGATTTGAAGAGAGTCATGTGGGAAAAGAAAAAGATTAACTTAAAACTATTACCTAAGGATCTCCTTTTTCAATCCATGTTACTTTACATAAATTAATATATCAGAATAGCAAGATATTACAAATTATGTATTGCAAGTACACAAACAATAAAAAACATTTAATGTCACATTATGTACATGTAAATGTCTATAAAAAAGAGAGAACACATGTACACAACCTAACAATACATGACATGAACCTGGAGAGGGTGCTATGCAGCTGAATACCTAAATACCCTTGTTATTATATGACAAGAACTTCTTGAGGTATGAGCTTCAAACATGGTGACAGTATTACTATAGGAAGATGATCCAATTACATGTTGGGGCGTAGTAGGTCAAGATCATAGTCGTCAGTTGACATTCGATTATAGGCTTTTTGTTTCCATTGTGATATGTCACAAATAATTCCATCCATTTCCTATCCTGAATTTAAGGCAGAGGTATATAGGAAACACATTTGTCTTGTTTTCTATAGCATACCTCTCTATTTTCAATAGTTATGTTATAGGTCAATGTAAGTTATCCACTGTTTAATGGTTTATTATTCTCAATTTACTCAATTTACTTATTGATGTATATCTTATCACAATTGTTATTGAAGAAAAAGAAAGGAAGACTATTCACTTCTCATCTGTTTATATTTTGTCAGGATTCATGCCCATCAGGCTTCTGATGAGGACGAGGATGATAGCGAACAAGAACGGGAGGCTAACCCCGCCCAGGAGCGAGCTGCCAGGATTGCGCTCATCAAGAAGAAGTCTTTCGCTAACAAAGGACAGGTAAGGACAGATATTGAGAGTAGGAGGAAGAGGAGGTAGATCTGAAGGAGAGGTTGAGGAGGAAGAGGAGGGGGAGGAGGAGGAGGAGGAGGAGGAGGAGGAGGAGGAGGAGGAGGAGGAGGAGGAGGAGGAGGAGGAGGAGGAGGAGGAGGAGGAGGAGGAGGAGGAGGGAGGAGGAGGAGGAGGAGGAGGAGGAGGAGGAGGAGGAGGAGGAGGAGGAGGAGGAGGAGGAGGAGGAGGAGGAGGAGGAGGAGGAAGAAGGAGGAAGGAGGAAGGGATGAGAGGAGGAGGGGAACAGGATGGTAATGATGATGACAAAGATGGTGATGAGGATGTCGAGATGGTGATGCTAATGGCATGATAGGGTTGATGAGGACGAAGAAGAAGAGCAGTAAGATAAGGAGCAGGAGGAAGATGAAGAACGTGAAGATAATCACAGCTTAAGAGAGAGCTGCCTTGATCAATAGATGTCTGTCTTCAACAAGGACAGTTACCATTCCTAGTCTTCCTACTACCAAAATATATCAGTGACATAAAGATATATTTGTTGTGAACCATTAAGTATATGAAATTCAATTCTCAAACAAATATTTATTTTTATCAAAAATACTCTTCATAGCCATGCATTTATAAATATATATGCTCTTCAAGTGACTCGAGTTCAATGCAGTACATGATACTAATGAAGCATGCACCCATGACTATTCCAAATTTCCAACCCCTTTACATCACCTCCTTAATCACCATGGCAACACAGGGTTCCAGCTCCCAGCGTCATCTCCAGGAGGCTGCCACCACCTCTGCTTCCGAGGTGGACGAGAAACCCTCGCTCTCCTCTGCCAGGCCTGCCAGACGGGGCCGCAAGAGGGCAAAGAAGATGCCGGGGAGGAAACCGGTTGAGAAAGACCGACCAGCCACTGAGATGGAGAAAAAAAAGGCGTGGTCCATTCTTCCGATGAGGAGGCTGATTGATGTGGAGGAGGAAGAGGAGGAAGATAATGATGAAGGTGATTATGCATTAGGGCTTGACTTTGCAGTACTTTTCACTGGCAGATTAAAGGGGGGCAGGTGTGGCATATCCAACTCATGCCCTTCTCCTTATAAAGATGCATAGTAGTGGGCTCTCATGGGGAAGTTGACACCATACCGGTGTTTACCCAATAACAGGTGTTGTCAGTTCCACCAAGTCTGGAGTCAGCGAATTATGACCTACTGCACATGGAAATTTCAATTCAATTTTAATTCAATTTCAATTTCAATTCAATTTATTTTCCATTTATTTTCTATCTTTAAAAAAGAACAAATATAACATATAACAACTACACCCGGAAAATTCCCCCCCCCGGACAATACCCCCCGGACAACTATCCTAGCCTGGAGGGAGGGGTGGGGGGGGGGGGGGTAGTTGTCCTAGGGTATAGTTGTCTGGGTGTAGTTGTCCTAGGGGGTATTTGTCCTGGGGTAGTTTACTGGGGGTAGTTGTCCCAGGGGGGAATTCGTCCTAAAAGGTGGTTGCGCTAGGGGCTAGTTGACTGCGGTGGTTATCCGGAGGGGGGGGGGGGGGGGGGGGGGTGTCCAGGGGGTAGGCATCCTAGAACTGTACAGGTATGATGTAGTTCTCTCTCTCTCTCCACCCTCTGTCTGTCTCTCTCTCTCTCTCTCTCTTTCCCTTCCTCTCTCTCTATCTGTCTCTCTCCCTTCCTCTCTTTCTCTCCCTCTCACAATTTAATTTTTTTTGTTTAATCATGTCTGCTTATTTCACAATATCACCAGTTTCATGTTTGATATATTTGGATGATTACGTCTGTGAATAAACAGATCAAAGAAACCATTATCATCATCATCAACAAGAGAACGTAATGAGATAGACCAATGGACGGGTATTGCTATAGTGTCTGAAGATGTTTGTATTTAACTGAACATATATAGATCTCCCTACCTCATCTGTTTCTCTCTCTCCCTCTCTCTCTCTCTCTCTCTCTCTCCCTCTTGTATCATCTATACAGGCTTGCTTCAATCTCTATCTCTCTCTCTATTTATATGCCTGCTCCATGTCTATTCTTTTCTCCCCCTCTTTCTCTCTTTCTCCCTCTCTCTCTCTCTCTCTCTCTCTCTATCTCATATCCTCTTCTATATAAGATTTCCACAATCTCTCTCTCTCTCTACCTCTCTGATATGCCTGCTCCCTGTCCATCTTTCCCTATCTCTCTCGTTCTCTCTCTCTCTCTCTCTTTCTCTCTCTCTCTTTCTCTCTCTCTCCCTTCTACTTTTCATAGTTACCCCTCTCACGACATGAACAAAAGTAAATTACCCGAGGAGGAATTATTACGTCATTCCATTTAATGAGACCCTTTTGTACACAATGGTTCAGAGAATGAAGCAGCTAATTAAAAATTTGACAATTTACAATCGGAACATACTGTTTAGATCATTAATTTCTATTAATGTATACACCTCAATGGTTTCATTTGCATGTTTTTCTCTACATATGAAGCACATGTACACGATTGTACTCTTCAATGCATTATATTAAACAATACAATTTTCCAGTGAAGTTACTAACCTGTTGTCAACACAAAACTATATTGGGCTATATGTAGGCATATTGATACTTTACTTCTGAAACAAGATTCAAAATGGATTTATTTATTGATTTTTGAAAAATATTTTAGAGGCAAGGTTAAGATTTCTTTGGGGTTAGGATTAAGGTCAGTGATGACTGATCACAGATGATATTTTTTCTCGCATCAATTTGACAAAAGTCTCAACAAACAGAGAAGACGTCTGACCACAGGCACATGGAAAATATCCTGTTAGTATGCTTCTCGAACTTCTCGATGCGCTTATTTGCCGGCCCTACCTGAAATAAAGAAAAGGGGAAATATAACGATTTTTAAATATATAATTTGTTTGCACCGATTGCATTTCAGAAATAGTCATGTTATATTATATGGTGTGATTCTGCTAGACGGATAATGAACAGGTGTATATGTGCACTCTTAAAGCAGTGTAGAGTTGGGTACAATTTTGAACATAAAGAGGTAAAAAATGGGGAGATGCATGTTTGTTGGATGAAAGGTACCCAACCTTGGTTAAACATTACCCAGTGTTGGTAAACTCTTACCCAACAAACATGCATGGTTCCTTTCTTCCCCTCTTATGAGTAAAATTTTACCCAACCCTTTAACAATTATGAAGATACTATGGGGAAAAATATGGATTGGATAATTCTCTCAATTATAGGTAATTTTATGACTCCGTGCCCTCTATAAGAAAAGGCAATCCTGAAACAGGAAGTTACCATATCGTGCTTAGTTATTTAATCAATGTATTGTTAAATCATTGATCAAATGACAACGATGGTCGTTCGAGCCTGACTTGAAGGAAATAAACATGCCCTTCATTATGTTATTTTCAAAAAATGTTATTTACAAAGTCTTTTTGACCGAAATTAGGTGCACTTAAAAGCCTTCTTGTGTCATGCTTGTCGAGTTCTTCTTAATTTGTAGTCTTTAAAACAACACACTAATTTATTAGAACAATGCCGGTGATCATGACCATCATAAATATTTCCAATAAAATTGTTTATGCCTGTACTGCACATCCACGAGTAATATATCAGCGTTAAAAGTATCGCTATTATTATAGATTATTACGTTAAAAATGGCATTGATCATTTTGAGGCTGGTAACGGGGGTGGTATAGATTACAGCGAAAGAAATATTATCTTGCCGACTTTCAAGTTTGTCTTCCTTGACTTTTTACATTTTCATGACTACGTGATAGAGGTGTGGAATTGGAAAATTGAGAGGTGGATTATGCACTTGTCATTTTTAAGACGCACCTCTTGACCCCCGGGAATGGTGCGTCATTGAACCGATGTGAGTCGTACATTTTGATACCATGACGCACCTTCCGTCACAGAAAGTGACACACCATTACATTCCATCGACGCACATTTGAGTCAAACATATGACACACCATTTCATGAAAATGACTAGCCAATGACGCACATTTGAGAAACACTTCTGCTTGGAGAAAGTGACGGTCCCATTGACACACCAAATGACGCAACGTGGTAAAGTGACTCACTATGATGCACATATGGGTCAGTATTGTGACGGACATTTTGCGGCCATGACGGTACTGTGCGTCGCGATTTTGGGGAACATGACGCAACCATGACGCACCATCCCCGGGGGTCAAAAGGTGCGTCTTACAAATGACACCTGCATTATGATCATTCATATAAGGAGCATACTATTTGATGCATTTACCCTCACACAGCATTCTTTGATGTTGAGTCAAGGGGGTGCCATGAGTACACTCCTCATCTACTGCAATACAAAAATAAAAGACAAAAAATGATCGAAACAATAATAAATCAATAAATCAAATCAGCAAAACTTGGTTGGTAACTAAAGTTATCACAAAATATCATCGGCCAGGCAGGATAAGAAGTGATAAAAAGTATCTTTCTAAAAGTGCGAACTTTCTACAAATCAGATCGGATTATGTCAAAACATCATTGCCATGTTGGCACATTTCAATAGGTGACTGCACAAGCATACGACTATTGGAATTGCTTTAGGTTGGTTGTTTTGTAATCGTATTTGTTTAGTTGGTTATCAACATTATAAATAAATTGCTTACTGCTGAGCTGGTTATCCTCATCACTCAACGCATTGGAATTGTTGATCTCATCTTCCTGGACTAAAACACTTGCTGCCACGGCTAAGGCAATCAGAAAGTAGAGAGCAATCACGGTTTTTGACGCCATTCTGAAAGTCTAAGGAAAATAGCAGAAACATGTAATACATTTTGATCATTTGGTCAAAGCTACACAATTAAGAATGTCAGCATATTATAGTGACGTACTGAAACTTTCCTTTTACCACTCATCAAGAATGAACAGAAAGCCAAAATCGAACAATATACAGTTATAACGGAAGCTGAATGAACAAATGCGCCAAAAATAATGGGCTTCGAGACGACAGGCTGCCAGAAAATACAGAAACTGGAAATGCGGTTTACTCTGATGAATGCAAGGCGGAAGGCTTTAGAATGTCTACATTCAATTATACTCTACGCTTTCTGAAACCAAACAATTGAGAATGTTTTGAATGCCCTGTTGAAAGACGATTTTCTCGCCCCTTTCTGCACTGCTGTCAGTGCATGCACTTAACGGCTTTACCCCCACCCTCCTAAAGAATACGATGATAAAGATTCAACGCATAGTTTCGTTTTTCAAAGAATAGAAGTAGGAGAATGTAATGTCTTTAAAATGCTATCAAGGCACAGAAAATAATAAGAAATTGAATTTAATGAATGATCTGACAACAGTGCTTGACAAACTACCTTGTAACATGAAGACTCATACTCGAGTAAAGCTAATGTCAGTGAGCTCTGGTATGGGAATCGTATTTTGAGAGAAATTGCTACAATTTATTCTGCATTGTTTATCCTGCAGCAGTTTTCCTAATCTTTCTATGCTCATTTCTCAGCCACTATACATTTTCTACCAAAATTATTTTGCACATGTCATTTATTTGTAATCTTGAACATTCTGTGTAAGTTTTGTTGGATTCTGTGAGAATTTATTTTCTATATTAACCAGAACTCAATATTATCTTTAAAGGGAACCAAAACCTTCATACTAATTTACATTTATTGTAAAGTTTAAGATATTTGAATAAAATCAGTGAAAATTTGAACAAAATTGGGCGAGAAATAAGGAAGTTAAAGCTTTTTTAAAATCACTAGTCACTAGAGGGTGATATTCAATTTGATGACATCATTTGTGGACAACTCTCCATGCCTTTTATACATCAAATTTCATATTTTTCCTTCTATCTTGTGATTGAGATAATCTACTCCCCTGAAAGCAAGGTATAGAATGCAAAATGATATTCTACTTCACACATTATGAAGTTGGATCAAGAACACAAATAAATACAAAGAAAACGAAAGAATTTGATGTACAAAATGTATTTTGCGTACAACCCTATGGGAAATCTGATTCCTTGTCGTGTATAAAATGTAATTCTGGTACAATATCAAATAGCCCTTCTTCTTCTTCTTGATTTGTTTTTGTTTGGCAATCAGTCACAGTTGACTATTTTTGCCACACACTATTTTATGAATTATTTATATATATACATATATGTACAATTTCATGTCATAAATGACTATTTTTAGGATTCTTTCTCTTTCCATCCTCTTTCCTTCCTCTTTTTTTTCTTTTTAGACTCTATAACTTTTTTTAGAGAGAAAATTCAATAAATTAATAATTTTGGAAAGAGACGACGGCCTAGCAAGTTGTGAATGAAAAACGCCTATAAACTAAAACTAAACGTACGTACTTGTGTTTACGCGCACGTGCGCGTTCAAATATCACCTCACGTATGCACATGTGTACTTCGCACTTACCCCCACCCTTTTCAAAATGCCATCTTACCAGTCTTTGAGGTATATTTCGCAGACTTTCGGTTTTAACCTAGGTCACTCCGGCATAGGTGAGGGGGTGCCAGCTAGCATGTGATGTTGGAGGTGATCACCGAATTGTTAGAAAAAGTAAAAGGTCAAATTAGTTACAAGTATTGTGGGCTTTATTGGTGCAAGAAAAAGGAAAAGAGAAGATAAGAAGAAAAAAAACAAAAAAACCTCAACAACAATTTAATTGTTTTGATACAGCCGCTTTGTTCTTAAAACGAAGCGAACTATTGCTTTTTGTTTAACTATTTCTGAAAGTTTAAGTAGTGTCATGATTTCCTGTGGATGTGATAAATCAGTTTCTACGAGTAACATAGCTCTTTCTATTATGTACTTTGGGCATTCAGTGAGAAAGTGGTTTACAGTTTCAGTACGTCCTATGCAGTTATTGCAATGGCCTGTCGAGTGTATATTCAATCTGAAGAGATCTAAGTTCAAACCTATCACTCCTATTCTTAATCTATGGAGAATACTTTCTTCAAATCTGTTCAACTTACATTCATATGGTTGATTTACTGTAGGCAGTATATGTCTAAGAGATCTATCAGAATTATTCCATCTGTCTTGCCAGAGTTTTATATACTTGCTGGTAATAATACTCTTTATTTCAGAAAAGGATAATTTATTACAAATTTCAATGTTATTTTGTAAAGCAGATTTTGCATAAAAATCTGCCATTTCATTTCCGTGTACACCACAATGGCTAGGAATCCATTCTAAGTGTATGTGTTTTCCTTGATACGATAATTTTGTACTTAATGTAATAATTTCAGTTACAAATGTAATATCTTTTTCATCCTTTATGGCGAGCAGGGCGCTTACGGAATCACAAAAAATAACAATGCCAACATACACATTAATGTTCTCTAGCCAATTAAGCGCAAGGACAATTGCAGCCAATTTGGCTCTGAAAGATGAGGTGTGATCCGCCAATCGTTTGGCTTGTTGAAAGGAGAATGCTGGTACATAAAAAGAAGCAGAACTTATTCCAAAACTTGGAACCTTTGACCCATCTGTATAGATGTGTAGTTGTATTGGCCATTTGGTACTGATCAATTCTAAACTGCGTTGACGTAAATAAGATGGGTTTTCATGTTTGTTCACTATTTCGCTTAATTCTATCGACACTTTTGGAGCATTAATTTTCCAAGGGGGGAAACTAGGTATAGTGTAAGGTTCGATAGTACAATGTTTCATTAGTTCTGTTCTGCATCCAAATGGCTTGTTATTCTTTTGGAGCTTCAAAAGTTCCATTTGCCAGCTGGGCTTAACGTTTAATATGACAGGGTGATCTCGATGCATTTCAATCTTTTGTCTGAATCTGTCCGCCAGCATCTGTCTTCTTAAGTCTAAGGGCATTTCACCTAGTTCATCTTGTAGTGAATCTAATGATGTAAGAGGAAGAGTTCCCGCACAAATTCTCAAGGCTTGATATTGAATGGAGTCAAGTGATTTCTTTATACTTTGAGCCGCACTGTCATAGGCTTCACAACCAAAATCTAATAACGATCTTATCAATGCTCTATATACCATTAGCAGGGATTTCGAGGAGCTTCCCCATGTAGTCCCAGTAAGGCACCTAAGAATGTTCAGTTTCTTTTTACATCTAAGGACTACGGCATCTATGTGCGTCTTCCATGAAAGTCTTTTGTCAAATATAAGTCCTAGGAAATGCTTCTTTGATTGGAATAAAAGTGTGTCGTTGTTTAATTTCAGTTCTGGGTATTTAGCTTTATTGTTTTTAGTAAATAACACTGGAAAGGATTTACTCTGTGAAAGGCGAAAGCCCCATTTAGTAAACCATTCACTCAATGTGTTCAGATAGCACTGTATTCTGTTTGAAATAATTTCTTTGTTATTACCTGACATCCAGATGACACAGTCATCAGCATAAATAGATGTGGTGATTAATTCATCTGTTGGAATATCATTCATCATGATATTATACAATATAGGACTTAAGACACTCCCCTGGGGGAGGCTGTTGTACATTTCATATAATTTTGATTCTTCTTTACCAATCTTTACTTGGAAAGTCCGCTCTTTCAGATAGTTATAGAGAAACTCGAGCATATTACCTGTAATACCATGTACTGATAGTTTGTAAATAAGGCCTTTGATACAAAGTCTATCATATGCCTTTTCAATATCGAGAAAGATTGCTAAAGTATATTCACCAACATTAATGCTTCTTTGGATGGCATTCTCTAAAAGTACAATGTTATCCGTGACCCCACGTTTACTACGAAAGCCAGTCATGAGGGGAGGAAGTATATTGTTCTTTTCTACATACCATTGGAGTCTATTCTTCACAATCCGTTCTAGTATCTTGGCAAAACATGAGGAAAGTGCTATGGGTCGGTACGACGATACCTTTCGGGGGTCTTTATTCTGTTTTAACACAGGTATTAGGATAGAGTGTTTCAGACTGGGAGGTATGCTACCCGTATCCCATATCAAGTTCATGACCTTTAGCATATATTGTTTTGCTTTCTGAGGAAGTTTTTGGTAAACCTGATAAGGGATCTTGTCTTTTCCAGGAGCTGATTGTTTACATGTGTTTAGAGTTTTTTGCAATTCAAAAAGAGTGAATGGTTCATTCAAGATATGCTCCATTCCCCGCTTCAGTGATTTCGTGACTTGTTGCTCAACATTTTTGTTTTCTTTTATTTCTGGACATTCTTTAACATTACTAATTGATTGGAAGAACTAGAGAAAGCCTCAGTCTTTTCACTGTTACATGTGATTTCTTTTTCATTTTCTATCAGGACTGACATGTTTTTTGTTTTTTTGACAGATACCCCCTTTAACCGTTTAATGGTAGACCATACCGCTGATTCTGGTACAAAGCGGTTGAGTCTTAAGCAAAATTCTTGCCAGTAATTTCGTTCTGCTTAGCGTAGAGTTTTTTGTACCTCTGATTTTTTCTTCAAATATGTATTTAGATTTTCTATTGAAATGTGTCTTTTTAATCTATTATTAGCCCTGTTTCTTTCTTTGATACTTTGTGTACAGTCTTTTGTCCGCCAAGGTACAGGGTCATGTTTTTTCTTTCCCCTCTGTGGC